TAAAGCAGAGTGAGATAGAGATATAGGAAATGAGAGAGAGAGCGTGCTGATTTCGCGTAAAACCACCTGCCCGATAGTGACACTGATGGTGCGAAATCGGAAGCTGTCGTTATTGATTGAAAGTCTGCCATATGTTGTATTCTCATATTTGATCGTTCCTACTTGTTATGATGAGTGACGATAAATCTTATAATTCCATTGTATTCAAAACAATATTCACAACACAACTGGTAATCAATCGGTCGTTTTTTTTTCGGGTTAAAAAACCGAGAGCATAACGTTTTTTTTTGCGTATTGGCCGCTCGATTGTATCGTCGAACGTCCCAGAATTCAGGTTGAATGGCGCGGGAATCGCTGAAAAGTTGAGCATTGGACCAAGATCAGCCAGGTAATCAGGCAAAAAAGGTTAGGTGAGTGTTGCCCTGTGGTGTCGCTGGACGATGCCCACGCCTTGTTAGTTTCAGGAAATGTGTTGCAAGAGAGAGGACCTGAAGACACATTCTTCCTACATACAGTTGCCCGCTAAAATGAAGTTGGAAGTGCGAAATAGACCGGCAATACGAGAGAAAGAAAACCAATAGTTGCGAATGTTGAAAAAACGTCTTCCTCATTTGGGCTATGGACGAGCCTACGAGGAAGAGATAGTGGGCTCGGAGATGGGAGAGCACTGGGACGACCGAGACGCAGACACAAGCGCATTTGCAACGGTGAGAGACTAGAGCACTTGGTCATAACGCCGAAGCGCGGATTCTATAATAGTCAAGAAACTGGCATCACCTCTGCTGTTGCTCAACCAGCTTCACTATTCGTATGAGGGGATTGTTCCAGAGGACGTATTGTGGAATGTGGCTCTGAGTCAGATGATATTTCACGTTTGCCCCGAAGTTTATAAATGCTCTTCGAGCCCACTTGCCATTTTCCCTGATCCCTGAATCTGAAACGGCAGCTGATATGCACAGAAGGCAGAAAAAGACTTTCTTTTTCCACTTCAACGCTGAATTAATGTATTTATGTATATGTGTATGGTGTATGCGAAAAGTGTATATAGGGTGCAGTCGTGGTATAAAAATTCCTATAAATAAAGGGAATGGGCGGAGTTAATGCAGTGGGCGGGGTAGTTGTATGCGTAGGGGAAGGGATTGGATGGTGGACGAGATGTAGTGGTGGAATGGTGCAGTGGGGGGTGGATATAGTAAATGAAATTCAATAAATAATAACAAAAATGTGTGATTCAGGGGTTGTGGGCGGAGTTTGCGCGGTGGGCGGGGTCAAGAATATGGCTAATACGGGGGTCCGTGAGCCAGGGGGTGTGGTAATCACAATTTACGAATCCAAACCAAGTCTTCCTCCAGGGGTGGCAAAAAAGGACACTACTCACGACGCACGTCAGCGAGCTTTACCTCGCGCAATATGGGGGTCCATGTGAGTCCTTACCGCAGCATGTCCCTGAAATGTCCCTCTATACGTTACAGCAAGCCCTTCTTTACTGC